TTCCCAGGGGCTGCGCCCCTTCTAGCCCTTAAAATTTTTGAAAGTCGTTGTCGTTGACTTTTCGGTAGAGGACTCAAAATAGTATAACTATGTCCGGACAAGTAAGGGTCTATCGTCGCTACAGTAAAGTTACGGGCGTTCAAAGAAGTATACTTTGAGAGACTCTTTAGAAACTTTAGACGTTTTACATAACCATCCATGTTTTTACTTTACATCCGATAAAAGTGGTTTGGAAACCGTTATGAGATGGTTAGAGGACATACATGACTATGAGTTTAGATATGACAAGATTGTTATATACGAAAACGATAAAAACAGTTTGACAGAAAAGTGACAACTTTACGTGTCAAAAATATAAAAAGTGATATTTTATTCATCATTATCTTCTTCATAATTTATTTCATATTCTTCGTCTTACCAACAAAAGATGGGAATGTGAACAATTGCGGGCAATTTTTAGCCATTTTGGCTTGGAACTAGAGCCTGCGAGGTACATGGATAGTATCAGTACCTCACAGGCTCTAGTTCTCTATATGGTGCCGAGAAATTTTGGTGAAATGTGGTCGCATTTCACCAAAAATTTTTCGGCGCCATAGGATGAATTGGAGGGTGAGAGATATTATTTCATACAATACTACTCTCACCCTCCAATTCCCAGCCAAAATGGCTAAAAATTGCCCGCAATGTGAACAATTGCGGGCAATTTTTAGCCATTTTGGCTTGGAACTAGAGCCTGCGAGGTACATGGATAGTATCAGTACCTCACAGGCTCTAGTTCTCTATATGGCGCCGAGAAATTTTGGTGAAATGTGGTCGCATTTCACCAAAAATTTTTCGGCGCCATAGGATGAATTGGAGGGTGAGAGATATTATTTCATACAATACTACTCTCACCCTCCAATTCCCAGCCAAAATGGCTAAAAATTGCCCGCAATGTGAACAATTGCGGGCAATTTTTAGCCATTTTGGCTTGGAACTAGAGCCTGCGAGGTACATGGATAGTATCAGTACCTCACAGGCTCTAGTTCTCTATATGGCGCCGAGAAATTTTGGTGAAATGTGGTCGCATTTCACCAAAAATTTTTCGGCGCCATAGGATGAATTGGAGGTGAGAGATATTATTTCATACAATACTACTCTCACCCTCCAATTCCCAGCCAAAATGGCTAAAAATTGCCCGCAATGTGAACAATTGCGGGCAATTTTTAGCCATTTTGGCTTGGAACTAGAGCCTGCGAGGTACATGGATAGTATCAGTACCTCACAGGCTCTAGTTCTCTATATGGCGCCGAGAAATTTTGGTGAAATGTGGTCGCATTTCACCAAAATTTTTTCGGCGCCATAGGATGAATTGGAGGGTGAGAGATATTATTTCATACAATACTACTCTCACCCTCAATTTTAATTACTTAAACTCATTCTATTTTTTTGACATGTAAATGTCACTTTTACTGAGATCTGACACAATGTCAGATCTCTTTTTTTCGTATATAAGAAGATAGAATATGAGAGAGGTCCTATAAACCGGAGAAAGTGTCATATAAACATCTGTCAAAAGCCTCTTTTTAACTTCACTTAAAATGCCACGTAAGATACGTAAGAATATACGTAAGAGGAAGAGAGCATTGAAACATCCAATAGTAAAACTAACACCACAACAACAGTTGCAACAACAAATGCTGAATGACCCCACCATGTTGCAACAAATGTCAAGCAACCCTATGCTCTTAAACCGAGTCATTGGTGCACAGAGTGGAGGTTTAAGAGCGGCACTTTTAGCGAAAATGGCAGGCTATGGTGGAGCTGCAGACGGAACAGCCTATAACCCTCAAAGTCAAATGAATTTGAGTTCACTCAAAAATCAAATATCAGATGTCAAAAAGTCAAACATAGACATACAGAAGCAAATAAGTGAAAACGAAAAGAAACTAGAATACGACAGACACACAAAGAAACTCAATGAGTTAAACGTAGAGAAAAAGAAGAAAGAAGAACAACTGAAAGAACTAAGTACAGAGCAATATGCAAAAAAAGTGTCAGAAAAAGCAGCAGAAGTAGCAAAAATGGAACAAGATGTTGTAAATTTGAAAAACCATACTACTCAATATAAAGTACTGAAAGATGAAGAGATAAAACAAAAAGCCCTGAAGACATATATGGATAGCGATGAGTATAAAAAAGAAGTTGAAGCAAATGTAAAGGCAGAAAAACTTTTACAGTTGCAAAACCAAACCGTACAGTATGAAAACTTAGCACAAGAAAGTAAAAATAACGACGCAGCCATGCAAAAGGCAATGAAAAGCGCAGAATATATAAAAGCTAACAATGACTGGTTAGATGCCCAAGCCAACGCTAAAGCAGCCCAGCTTATAGGGTCAATAAGGACAAAAATACAAGCGGATGAAGACAGTTCAAATGAAGCTTTAATGAATGCTGACTTTAAGAACGCCTTCGAAGCTCTTCATAGTAAGGTGAAACTAGTGAACGACTTCTCATCTGGAAAGAAACTGAAGTCTGAAGGTTTCGACAACGAGTTAAGAGAAGTAGCACAAAATATGACGAAAATAACAGATGCAGCAACGAGACAGGCAGTTCAAAGTGCCTATGACGCCGTTAGAGCAACTGTTGTGGAAAGTCAAGAAAAAGAGTTACAACAGACCAAAACAGACCTAGTAAATGCTTTCTTAAAAACGAAAAGTCAGGTAGGACACTATGCTGCAGATGGAACATATGTGCCAGCTGGTGGAACTTATATACCAGCTGGTGGAACTTATATACTAGCTAGTGGAACCTATATACCACCAAACCCTCCAAGAGAAGCACCTGCACCAGGACTACCTAAAACATTTACATCGTCACATGGACACAGACACAGGCATGCACCAAAACCAGCACAACAACCACCTCCACAACCAGCACAGCAACCAACAGTTCAAAACCCTGCACAACAACCAACAGTTCAAAACACTGCACAACAACCACCTCCACAACCAGCACAGCAACAACCAGCACAGCAACCACAAACAGAGCAAGGAAACCAAGAATTCTTAAAAATGCTTAAAGAAGACTATGGTTACCCAGATACTCTTGACTTTAGTGACAGATATAAAGAAGCTATTAGAAAGTTCAAGGAAGGAAATACTGACCCGAACCTATTTAGCTTTATGGCTCAGCACCAAATGGGATATAATTTCAAACCTGGAAAATACAAGCTCGCTAAGGGATATGATTTAATAGCATATCATCCAAATGACATGAATGAATTTACTCCGAGATATTTGGTGTCAGAGCTAAATGACAATTCAACTCTCTTCATGAAACGCGTAAAAAATAGAGACGGAACGAAAGAAGAAAGGTTTATGAGTCCGGATGACTTAGATAGGGAACTTGTTAAAAACGGTCTCGGAATATATGAAATGCCAGCAGATGAGGTACAAGAAACTCAACAGGAAGAAGTTCAGATACAACCAGACATGGAAGAAATAGTTCAGCAACAACAGCTAGAAGAGCCTGAAGGAAACGAACAAGTCCCTCCTTTGGAAACTAACTTCACAGAACTAGATGAAGATTTGGAACAGCCGAAAAATCTTGACCCTCAACAAGAGTATGAGGTGAATATGGAATCTTTCCAAGAGTCTAAAAAAAATTCGGCTGACATAGTAGAAGAATATCGAAAAATGTTTGCGACATACAAAAGACTCCAACACCAGATGAAAATATTCAGCATAGAATGGAAGTACTGAAAGAAAATGTACGCAAATACAACAACCCTTTTTACTTACGACCATACAACGTTCAATCTTTGGATGAACTCGGTGAAAATAAAAGGTTAAATTTCAACAAAACATATAGAAATGAAACATTGTTTAAAGTTCATTCAGAACCTAACCAAGATGGAAACAAACCTACTTTTGTTTCTGCAGACGATGGAACTACAATGAGATGGGGTCATAAAGCTAACCCGGATAGGTGGTTCATAAACTTACAACCACAATTCCAAGAAGTTGTAGACGCAATGGAAGTGAATGGTGAACCAGATATAGCTGGTATTTTAAGCGCGGCTTTAATGCCATTGAAAGATATGAAAGATGCAGATATTTTGGACCAGTATGAAATGAACATGGCTGATGGAAATATAACACCTGACGTTCTAAAACATTTATCTCAAAGAACTACACAGAACCATAGAGATGGTATATTTGGTGAAGAGTTTAGAAAGAAAGTTAGGGAGGGAGAAGGAAGAGAACCTATTGTACATGACCTTGCAAACGAAAGTTTACAAAATGTCATAAAAACTTACTTTGCAGACAATGAACTGAGAAGGGATGAATATTTAAGAAAACTCAAATGGACAGTACCAAATGAAATGTTAGTATTGAAAAACATGTTCCTTGACAAAATAAAACCAACTACAGAAATAAATGACGCAAGACTGAAACATTGGGTAAAAGCTTTCCATTCACAAAAGATATTGTTGGTAACATGGAAAGAAAACCAGAATGGCTACAAAAACATATATTTGGAAACGAGCTTATTCCATATGGACAAGCTCTGTTTGAAGAGCTTGAACCGGAAACTCAGGAAAGAGTCATGCAAACAATACGCGAAGACTCAAATACAAACTATGACAAAATCTTTCTAGGATATAGGTTACCTGAGATGGGCGACCAGAGCCCAAAGGCAAAAAGGACATGGGAAATTTACAACATACTAGGTGAACATGAGGCAAAGATGCAACAACTTGAAGCAGAGGGCAAGTTACCAAAAGCGACAGCAAAGAAGAAGAGAAGAGTAGAACAAAGTGAAAGTAGTGAAGAACTAACTTCATCTAGTGAAAGTAGTGGCAATGAAGGAAAAAGAAGAGTTAAAAACTCAGTCAGGAAGAAAGTAAAGCTTGGTCCACGTGGGTTCTATTATGACACATAAATCCAACTATTCTATATTTTTACACATATGAAATGTACGCCGCTCAGAATATAACGCCAACAGTTTTGGATGCCATGAATGGAAATGTTTCCGAATGGTATAACGAATGCGACAATGCCATTAGAAGGTCAGAAATAGTTCCTGGAACTTACGAATATACAACTGCTGTTTCTTATGGAAACGTAGGTGAGTTTGGTGAAGGTTCTTCAACAACAGTAGATATTGCTTGCGACAGGTTTCATATTATTTCTATTGACAACTCATTCTTATACGTGGAACAAGACATTGAAATAAAACCTTCTGCCAAGTTGTCTGACAAGAAAGGTTGCAATGGAATTTTCTATGTCGGATACCAATATGCTCCAGAAGTTTTCATGGGATATAAGATATATTCTAACTCTGACTTAGTTCAAACAGTAACATGGGCAAACTATGAATGGTTCGCTTTGAGAAACTCAGTACAACCACAAGCTAGAGAACAAACAGACCAGTATGCAACTATTGAGAAAATAAGAAGACTTGACCCTAACGTTCCAGGAGTTTATGTTAACCTTTCTGGTTCAGATGGAAATGCTGCCACTAAAGTAAAACTGAAACTTAGAGTTCCTTTGTCGTCTTTCCTCATCTTCAGGTTTTTAAGATACTTGCCAAACTGGGCAGGAAAAATTTCTATCGAACTTACTCCAAGCAAAAATAACTTAGTCATTGCACCAACACAAGACCCATTCACTCTTACAGACGTAAAGGGAGCAAATCAAACGTCATTCGCCGACTTTTGCAAAGATAAGGTTGACTTAGACTTTGGTTTCTCAAACTTCAACACTGAAGTAAACTATTATTTCAATGCTGCTGGAACTGCTTGGGACCCAGTTAAGTTCACATGCGAAAAATTTGAATGCAAGAGAATAGAAAGCAGACTTGCAGTCTATATGTTGGACCCAGATATTTCAAATGCTTTAGCTGCCAAATATATTGCAGTTCCACTTATGTTCCCTATACACCAAATATCTGTCAAAGACTTTGCAGGTGAAGTTGGAAACCAAAGTGCTGACCCAGGTGCAAGAACAGATATTGCTTTAACAACTGCAATGAAACATGCAGATACTATGTTTGTACTGTTCAGACAACTATAAATGACTATTCTTGTTTCTACAACCCCGGTATTAAATATCATATAAACATAGATGGCAAATATTATCCAAGAGAAGAATATTCTACAGTTGAAGATATGAGGTCATACAACTTGACATTAGATGCTATGAACTTTAACAACAACTTCACAACAACCATTAACCCTGAAATGCAAAGTTCTATTATGCCATATGTGAAAGTATGGACTCATGCAGGAGGTCAAAAAAACTCAATATACAAATAGAGACCGTTCAAACTTTTGGCTTGGCATTCCATTTGCTGACTCAGAAGACTTTATGGGTGGTATTTCAACTGTTGGTACAGTTCAAATACAATATACTGGTGACAGAGACGGTCCAGATGAATTGAAAGCAAAGAAGTTTACAAAACCAATAGCACTTTTCACGGAAGATGCTCTTTTGAAGATTCGTTCGATGAAACCTGCTGGAGCTCCTCAGATTGGCATAACGACAGCTTCCATCGAGCAGATTTTTGGCAGCAGGTCAGTAAGTTGTTCTTGAACTGACTTCTCTCCGTCAAATATTGACAGTACGCCAGTTTTGACATAAAATTGTAAGATAAAACTTACCTTTAGAAATATCTGTAAGTTTTGTTGTTATATTTTTGTCAACGTCAAGAACTTTCACCATTTCAGTTATACCAACTTTCTTTGCTTTATGAAAATATTTTGGTTCAGCAAATATTGCTATTCTATAACATTTTCCATTGTTTGTGTAAAGAACTATTCTGTCAATGAACTTGTATTGTTTGTGTGTGTAAACTTTGTTCTGCTTCAATTCGAAGAGATACTCAAATACGTCCATCTTTTTATTCTAAGTAAAATGTCATTTCCGAAAAATAGAAGCGTAAGTGTTTCAAAAGGTTTAATGGCGGTGGCAGATGTGAAGTTAAATTCACCAACTCAAACAAACAGTCAAAGTGTTATTGTCAATGTCAAAGAAAGAGATGTTGAAATGGGGAAACCATACGAAGACGAAAATGGTATAACAATAGTTCCTGTAAAAGAACAACCAACATACCCTGAAGTTAGCAGAGACTTAAGTTCTGTTGCAGATATTCGAAATGACTACCAACAACTTAAAGACAAACTTAAAACTCAGGAGAAGATTTGTCAAGCTTTAGGTATAATGTTAAACTTGGTCGAACACAACCCTGTAAAAGTGAACTCATATGTCATTGCACCTCATGAAGTTTTGAAAGAACTATTGAAACTTTTGACAGAGGCAGACGATATAAACATCAAAGAAATAGAACCCGACATTGCTTGCTGTGGTGTTTCATATAATGTCATTGACAAGATATACGTTATGAAAGGAGGTGAGACGTTGAACTTAAAATATAGTTTCCCAGACGTTATAAAAAATATTTGACGACCACAACATTTCATTAAAATTTAGTTGCTAAGTAAATGGCAGAAGACATAGTGGTTTATACTTACGACTAAAAACCTGAGTCATATAATTCTATAACAACAAACTTACAAAGTCCTCAAGGACGATATTGTAAACTAACCTTAAACACAATGACGACTAAAGCCTGTTTTGCTCTTTTGACACCAGAAGACTTTGTTGTTGTGAATGGTAAAAAATACTTCTTTGAAGATACTTACTCAGATATACCACCAACAGGTTTTGTTGACTTATTTAATACTTTAAGGACGGATGTAACATGTGCTGCAACTAGAGCAGGTTTCATTATGTTTGGATGTCCGACCGAGTTTACTATAAACGATATGAGCTATAATACAAAACTTATATCTGGTTTTTACTACCAACAGTTTCCTATAACAGGAAAAGGTGTCATACAAGGTTTGTCTGTTCCATTGACTTTAAGCACACCTATTTTATATATTGTTTCAAACTTAGGTTCAAAGTGTTATTCGAATGTCGACAGAAACTACTATGACCAAAAAATACTCATGCGTATAAACAACACTTTCTCTGCTGGTTTGCCTATTGTTCATTCGAATGCAGAGTTTTCCAGCTTTAGTGAACTCAAACACTTTAGCAAACATAAACTTAACCTTAGTTGACGCAAACTTTGTTCCTGTAAAACTTTTATGTCCTATGTATTTGTCAATGACGGCAGAAAGTTTCGAATTGGAAGATGCAACTGGTGAAAGTATTGTACTACAAGAACAACTTCAACAACAAATAGCTCAAGAACAACAAATGCAACAAATGGAACAAATGCAACAACAAAGTCAAGAATAAAAAAATATTTTTTTATTTTTATAAAAATGTACAGAATAGATGTTTCAGATTTTATGACTTCCAAACATTCAGAAATATGTGTCCATTTCGAGGAGACTATAACAAAGCAGTCGAGAATTTGAAAACGTTTAGTCATTTATGTCGACTCTGCCCCAGAATGTTATGTTATGAAAGAATGGGATGTTGTCTTTAACAAACCTAAAGCGACAATAGTTTCAGAACAAGAATGTAAACAGAAACTTAAGAAAATAAAAGTCGTACAAGTTGGAATGAAGATGTTAGATGCTTGGGATATCTTATTGTCAAAACTTGAAGATTTTTCAGTTCGTGGTATAAAGTTTTATACACCTTCTCCAAACTTCTATTCTATCTTCACTGGATATAAATACGAACAAGTAGAATGGAAAGAAAATAGTATAGAAGCTTGGTTAGACCATGTCAAAGAAATTATATGCAATGGAAACGAAAAGGTTTATGAGTATATCTTATGTTGGTTTGCAAACATCTTACAACATCCAAGTGCTAAAAATGAAACTGCTCTCATCATAATTGGAAAACAAGGAACTGGTAAGAACACTTTCTTTACAGATATTTTATGCAAACTGTTAGAGGGCTATTCGAATCCGAATATGACAAACTTAGAAAACATCTGCGGTAAATTTAACTCTTCAATAGAGAATATGAAACTTATAGTATGTAACGAACTTCAAAGTATAGATACAACAAAAGTTTTGAACTCAGATGCTTTGAAGAGTCTTATAACAGACAAAGTTGGAGTTGTTGAAAGAAAATATAAAGACCAAAGAGTTTGTGAAAATGTTGCAAACTTCGTCATGGTTTCAAACAATGCCGTTCCGATGAAGTTAGAAAGTTCTGACAGAAGATATGTAGTTGTCAGAACGTCAGATTCTCATATGCAAGATACAGAATATTTTGACGACTTAGCAGAAACTTTGACATCTGACTTTTACAACCACTTGTTCTCATATTTCATGACATTAGATATTTCTAAGTTCATCCAAGACAAATTCCACATACCGAAGAGAGACAAACATTGTTAGAAGCAAACAAGAGTGTATATGAACTGTTCATAGATGAAACTGACTTTGAGTGTTTAGATGAAAGGTCATTGTACGATTCGTATAAACAGTATTGTCAAGAGTATGGTTATATGACAGCGTCTAAACGAACATTCTTGGCAAATGTCAAAAGTCTTTTAGACGTACAGAATGGTGTATATACAAAGAAAAATTTTTCTGAGTAAATTTTAAAAAAAAATATTTTTTTATCCGATAGAAAAAGATGACAGAAAAATTAACTTTTTACATAGCGCCAGACCCTTCTTGCCCACATCTTTTTAAGCCACAATATATAGACATAGAACTAAATAGAGAAAGCGAAATTCTACAAACAGAAGAAACATATAGAGACCTAGATAACGAAAATGGATATGCGCTATTCTGGTTAGATTGTCCTTATGAAATGTATGAAAAAAAGGCTTTATATGAAGAATATAGAAAATATTGTCATGAAAACGATATAAGACCAAGCTCTAGAGAAAAATTCTATGCTGGTATAAAACATCTTTTCGAAGTTCGGAATGGCAAATATACAAAGAAAAATTTTTCTGAGTAAATTTTAAAAAAAATATTTTTTTATCCGATAGAAAAGATGACGAAATTCATCTCAGTAAACAAGTACATGTCAGGACTTAAAGAAGAACTAGACCCATTCACATATTTGAATGTTTACTTCTACCATTTTGAAAAGTCTACATTTGACAAAGTTTGGAACATCGAACCGGTTAAGTTTGCTATTGTGACTAAAAATGGTGCGAAATTTGAAGACTTAGACATAGAAGGTTTGTTAACAGTCAAAGAAAGTTTTGACAGAAGGTTCTCAAACCTTAAAGAAGGCAAAGCATACAAACTTGTTATACCTTATGAACCAAAGAAAGCAGACGACTATGAATATTATGAGTCTAAGATAGTTGAAGTTCAAGGTAAATTGGGTAAAAAGATTTTAGAGTCTAAGCCGGTGTTTGCTCCTAAAGAGGAAGAGAACATTGACATTGACCCAGAAATGTTCTAAAAATAAAATTTTATTTTTACATGTCAAATTTCTTTTTCTCTGGCTCTGGTTCTTTCTTCTCTTCTTCTACTTTCTTTTCTTTCTTTTCTCTCTTCTTCTTTTCTGGTGGAGTTATGTCAAATTTCTCCGAACCATATTTTTGTAAAAGTTCTTTGTCCTTTAATAGCTCTTCTATTCTGTTTTCTATTTCATCTTCAAGAACAGCGCATGTGTCTTCTTTGCATTCTAAGAAGTTTTGTTGGACTTCATCTCTCCAAGAGGCGTCATCTCTGTCAACAAGTCTGTCATTGACAAATTTTAAGACTGCTCTGCTTAATGTTTTATGGTTCTTGTCATATTCCCAGAAACAGAACTTTAGAACAAATTCACCTTTCTTGTTTACACTATGTAAGATTTTATGGTCGACAGATGTTTTGCTGTCGAAAAGCTTGTCTCGAATATAGATAGCGAAATCGCTAGACATTTTC